AAAAAGCAATACAATCTGATTCAAAGACTTTAAACATATTATGAGAGGAGAAAAACAAATCCATGAAACATGGTTCAGAGAAATCCTTAGCTGGAGAGGCCTATAATATTGGTGCTCATTAGAATTGAAGCCAAGGTTTTTAATTAAAAGCTAATGTTTCAGCAGCAAATTGAACAAATTGATTCTTCCTTTAACATTAATTCTTCCAGTATCATTTCATTGAATTCTTCATAACTCTTAGACGTATTAACTATAAAAGTTAATGTGTTCAAGGAAGCAAGTGCTATCCCTACACTATCCTTTCTTCCCATCCCACCTCTGTCCCCCACACAGCCATTCTTGTGATCATCCTAATACGAGGACTATGTTGGCATATGATCATTCAAGTTTAAGTTTTTCAGTTTGGAGATTATCCATGTATTTTCAAAAGTTCACTTTAACCTTTCCAGGCTTTAGATACATCAACATAGAGATAACAATGAGAATCTTACTTACTTTATTGGATGATTCTGAAGTAGATTTATCTTATATGCTCTTTAAAAAGGCAAAATATGTTTTTCCTTCCTTATTTAAACCTTTAGTCAGATTTTCATTACTCGTAGATGAAGCCCAAACCCCTTAGCATAGAAACACTTTAGATACCGCAACATAGAGATAATAATGCACATCTTACTTACTTTATTGGATGACTCTGAAGTAGATTTATCTTACATACTTGGCCAGAATGCTCTTTAAAAAGGCAAAATATGTTTTCCTTCCTTATTTAAGCCTTTAGTCAGATTTTCATTACTCATAGATGAAGCCCAAACCCCTTAGCATAGAAACATTGTTATTGATGATCTGGCTTACTATATCTCATCTCTTAAAACTCTTCTCTATTTTCTTCTAAAGACAAGCCATAATAATGATTTTAGTTCCTGCGTTTCTTACACATCCTATACGCTCTGCTTCAGGGCCTTTGTACATACTACTCTCACTGCCTGGAATGTTTCCTGATCCCCCAACTTCACATCTCATTCCTCTTACTTTTCACCCTGACTGTCTCCTCCCCAGTCTATAACCATAGCTTCTTCTTGGAACCTCACAGAAAGTATTCAGTGTGACTTTTATATAAATAATCTATGCAAGTCACATGATTTTCGTATTATCCCAAAGCCACCAAGGCATTGGTAGATGATCTATTCGTTAGGAAGATGAGAAGTTCCTGTTCACTTAAAAAGATGGGAAGAAGTGATTAGTACTTTGAAGTCATTTTTTCATTTTCTTACTGTTATAGTTATTAGGCTAATGGCATAAAATTAAATAAAATATGAATGGATATAGATGCCCTTATGAGGAGAAAAATAAGTTAAAGAGATCCTATTTTATATCTTATTATTCATTATTTCTGTGGCCTTGGGCAATTTACCAAGAATCTGAGTTTCAGTGTTCTAAATTCCCTTATGAATTAATTATAGAAGCCTAAAAATTAAATCCTGATTATAATAGACACTGACAGTATTGGGTAAGAACTTCATTCATCTTAGAACTAGAATATCTTCTGCAAAGAAAAGTTGGAACAAACAACATTTACATTATTTATATGAAAACAAATCCTCTGTAAAATAAATTTTCCCAAATAGTGAATTCTAGTTGGATTTCCAGTTTCTGGACTAACCTGCTGCCATTGACAAGCCACTCGGTCCCTTTACTCCACGAAAATTTTGGTTTGGGTGCAGCTTTGGGTTTGCATTCGATTATAACCCTTCCGCCTTTTGCAGCCAGGATCTTCTTCTTCATAGGATTCATTTCAAAAGTTGGAGCCAAAGCTAAAAGAAAGCAAGTTGTTATTTTTCTCTTTCATTAAAAACATTTCTGCTATTCATTTTTTATTTTGTTTTGATTACTAATCAACAGAAAAGATTAATTTCACCAAATATTATCAGCTATGACCAATACACATTTTGTACTTAATGCTAAAACCCTTTTCTTTTATTTAATAATTTTATGGAGGTATATTTAACTCATCATAAAATCCACCAATTTTAAATATATAATTCTTGGTGACTGCTGGATTAGTATAAGTATTAGTTATAATCAAGTGCTGCATACATATTTACCTTGAAGGTAACATCTAATTCAATTGTTTTGACTGAATTGCACAAGAGAAGTGAAGTAAAAGACTGGAGGAAATTGAGCACCATCATTAATGATGACCCATGGTCATAATCAATACTCTCAACCACGCTGTAAATGAACTGTCCCTCCTTTACAAAGGAGAGAAGTGACAGCTATTAAAATTACATCATTTGCTGAAGGTATCACAGGCAGCACGTACCAGGTAGGATTCACATCAGAATCTAGTTCCTTGTGATTTGCAAACATGCTTTTTTCACTAAGCAATATAACTCCTCCCTCATTGAACAAACATGTATTGAACACCAACTGAGTGCAGGTACTATAAGATGGTAAAATAAACAGAGAGAGCCCTGCCTTCTGGGGAATCCAATTAAGGTCATGATTCACCTGTAGTCAATCTTTACCTCCATGTACAGAAAAATAATTATGAAAAGAAGATATAGAGTCTCATAAAAGGTTACTCCACTGATGGCATGCTCTAACTTTCTTTAGGGTCCCCACAGTTAGCTCATTTCTCAACCTCCTTGTTTATTAGCAGGCTCTAGGGCAGCGGTTCTCAAACTGTGGATCGCGACCCCTTTGGGGATCGAACGACCCTTTCATAGGGGTCGCCTAAGACCATCGGAAAACACATCTATAATTACATATTGTTTTTGTGATTAATCACTATGCTTTAATTATGTTCAATTTGTAACAATGAAAATACACCCTGCATATCAGATATTTACATTACAATTCATAACAGTAGCAAAATTACAGTTATGAAATAGCAACGAAAATAATTTTATGGTTGGGGGCCACCACAACATGAGGAACTGTATTAAAGGGTCGCGGCATTAGGAAGGTTGAGAACCACTGCTCCATTCATCAATTTCCACACATTCCAATCATCTGTAACTATGTCCTTCCTGGAGCATCTTTTAGGCCTAGGTATATCTTTTTAATTTTCAATTTATTGATTGATTTTAAAGAGAGAGGAGGGGAGGAGAGAGAGAGGGAAATAGAGAATGATTCGTTGTTCCACTTATTTACGTATTCAGTGGTTGAATCTTGTGTGTGCCCTGAGGATCAAACCTGCAACTTGGTGTCCTGGGACAAAACTCTAACCAACTGAGGTACCTGGCCAGGGTCAGGCTTGCTTATCTTTATCCAGGTCTTGACTCTTCATCTTCTATTCCTGTGACTCTCAATTTTGTCTGTTCATCAAAATTATCTGAACACCTTGACAAAATACAGATTTAATATTTTGGGGTGGGCCTGAGATTCGGCACTTCTAACAAGCTCCCAGGTGTTGCTACTGCTCTGGCTGCTTTTTACAGCAATGGTTTAGGCTATCCCATTCTTTCCTTAGTCTGAGTTTTGATAACTGACAGATTAAAAAGTAACCAGCCAACTACTGCTGTACACCTAACTCAGTGTGTGTATGGGCTTAGTAAACATTGTGGGTGATATATTACTTGTAAAATATGGGACAAAATTTAAAATGATTATATATATTTTTAAAATATATTTTATTAATCTTTTACAGAGAAGAAGGGAGAGGGAGAGAGAATTAGAAACATCGATGAGAGAGAAACATCGATCAGCTGCCTCTTGCACACTCCTGTGTCTGCAACCAAGGTACATGCCCTTGACTGGAATCGAACCTGGGACCCTTGAGTCTGCAGGCCGACGCTCTATCCACTGAGCCAAACTGGTTAGGGCTAAAATGATTATATTTTAAAAATCTAAATGTATCTAGAAAATGATCATTTTTCTTGAATAGGTTCAGTTTTAATGAAATGATTGATTTGGCATCGTTGTTTAAGTAACTTTATACTCATCTAATATTTTGATTTCTAGGTACAGGATCTAGAGTATGTTCCCATATATTTTAATAGTGGGAAGGAATAAGGGAACATTTTTCCCAATTAAGAAGAAGACATGTTTTGTGTGTGTGTGTCCTTTTTGTTCTTTACTGGGCCTATTAAAAAAACGGGGAGAATGGATGGGAAAAGATCAACCAATGCATATATGCATAACCCGTGGACACAGACAATGGGGTGGTGAGGGCCTGGGTAGGGGTAGAAGCAGGATGGGAAAGGGCTAGAAGAGGTTAATGGGGGGAAAAGGAGGATCTATGTAATACTTTCAAAAATAAAGATTAAAAGGAAAATATATATATATATTTTAAAAGAAGAAAAAAATAGTATCTGGTATAGAGTAAGTATTCAACAAATATTTGGTGGATAAAAAATGACTTTAAACAACTCAAGAAAGGTTCCTAAAGGTAATAAACAAATATATATTGAGACTAATATAAAAATGCCCAGGAACATTGCTCTTAGGCTGAAAATGCTGTTTGCTTAGTTACTACATTAATAGTCATTAAATGGTTGACAGATCTAATGTTTTAATATGGAGAGATCTTCAGCCTGAACTGTTGAATATTCATATTCTTTTGTAATGCATTAGGATAAACAAGAAATTCTAACAGAAAATATAAATTTCATATTTGGAAAAAAAATGTAAATTCACCTCATATGTTCTCCAAGAGTCAAATGGTTTTTTGCCCTCCATACCAAAATAATGTGGTATGAAGCTGAAGCCTGAACATTTGCTTGATACCCAAATGAACTAGATCAAATATATTAACCAAATTGTTTTGCCTTTCTGCGAGAAGAAACGGAATATGATTCTCAATATTATAATAAGTAGAAGGGAAAGTTAAAATTAAGACCTTCATTTTTTAAAAAGATCATTTATTTTTAATACTTCCTTACAGTTCTGTAACTTCTATTCGTAGTATTTTAGTGTCACTAAATTTGTAGTGATAGCAATGTTTTAAAGATTTCCCTTGGTGTAGCAAGAATAAAGTATCAGGGTAAATTTAAAAAAAATGAATATAGGGCACAAGTAAGGGGATTGCTTTTGTACAGGAGAAGGCAGACCTGTCTTTCTCTGGATGAAGAGATGAAAGGGCAAGGAAAGTAAAGATGTAGATAGTTTTGAATGAGGGATGGGAAATTGAAATATTCTATTTCAAAGGGTTTCGATTTTCATGGAGAAGTAAGAAGGCATTATGAAAGTAGAAGTCAGCAAGGGACAACAAGGAGCTTGAGGAATGTCCTGAGGGTCTTGCATAGCAATTGTAGGGCATGAGACCCAGGGACTGATACAGCGAGCGAGTAGACTCCTCCTCTGAGGCTGGGCCATGTGCCTTGTGAAAGCACGATCCTCACTATGTGGTTGTCAGGTAGCTATTTAGCTGCCCAGATATAGGAGTGAACAATTCTTGTAAAAACTGGCATGTGTAAGGTTTTCCTTACCATTCACAACATTTTTTTAAACTATTATGCCCCATGTTGCCTTATATTCATTTACTGTTCTTTAATGAAAGGAAGAAAAAATAATAATATCCTTGTCCAAACCACATTTTAAATGTTTTTAACTTAATAATGCCAGAATATAAAGTGAAATCAAGTATGACCTGCAGACACCCTCTGGTCATTTTTTAATGAATCACTTTCTTGCTGAATGTTAACAGGAACCAGAAACGATACCCACCTAAGATCTTCAACTCTGCATTTGCATAAATAGCTCCATACGTGTTTTCAGCTATGCACTGGTACATGCCAGCATTTTCAAACGTCACGTCATACAGTCTCAATTCTCCTTTATGATACTGATGATACTGAAAGGAACACAAAGGAGAAACATTTCCTCAATAAACTTCAACAGAAATACTTTCATTTAGAAATGGGCTTGGTTGTCTTTTTATTTAAGTACATTATTCTGCCCCACTATGAACTAAGCCAAGGGGAGTAGGATGTCCATGGGGAACTCAAACCCACTTACCATGCTCAGTGGCTCCTATTTTATTCCTCCTACCGAGCTGAGAGCCCGCCTTCCCCATCCCAGCCCAGCTGGGAGGTTACCTTGGGAAGGGAGAGAAGGACACCACTGCTGCCCCTTGCTCCCAGGGCTAAAAATAGGGCTTTGCTCTTACCTCTGTTCCTGTGTGTGGGAAACTGTTTATTGCCTTCACTATCTGATAAGCATAGACAGAGAACTCCCCGAAACCCCACCCGAAGGCTGGGTGCCTTTGAAGCCCTAGCAAAGCTCAGAGCTAGACACCACCTCTGTTTGTCCAGACAGTGGTAGCTGAAACTACTCCCCCATTTATTATTATGTAAATCCTTGCTGATGCGCTAGTCTGCCTGTTGCAGGGGGTCACCTGCCTAAGGGCTATGCTATGGGTGCATTCCAGAATCAATAAAAGCTTGGTGAGGCCTGAGCACAGGGAGGAAGTCCTTCGGGACTTGCCGCCTGGTCCCCCAATATTGCAAAATTATCTCGTGTCTTTTTCTCTCATTTGTTGTGCGGCTGCTCTTTCAGATACCGAACCCTACTCCACGCAGAACGTGGAGGGAGTCTTACTCGACACCTGTGGGTCAGGAAAACAGTGGCAAGAAAAAGAGGACAATATCATGGAGTGGAGACAGATGAGTAAAAAGAGGGGTGGAAGTGGAACAAAGGGAAAAAATAAGGAGAGAAAGAGAAGTTAGACATAAGACTGCAGAAAGTTGTTTACGCTGAAAGAAGATAATTCATGTTCACTTTCTTGCTTGTTTTTTCAATGAAACATTTTTTATCAAAGGGCCCATGTCTCCTACTCTATTGACTCTGCTGATATACTAGTATTTATCTCAGGACCACACACTACTTGCACATACATACCACATAGCCATTTTTCAGCCATCGGATAGTAGGAATGGGCTTCCCTGTGGCCACACAAGGCCAGTAGAGGTCACTGCCTATATCCACCTCTGTGTCATTGATATGCTCCACCCATTCAGGAAATGCTAAAAAATAAAGAACAAAAAATTAAGAACACTGTAAATGTCAAATGTAATTCTCAACATTCATCATAATCTTCAGTATGAATAATGCTTTTAGTTGACCTTCATGACATCAGCTATGTGTGTGTCATAAAATCAATGTGAGAGCCATTGAAAGTGAATTTCATAGGTCTGCAGGTAAATTTTAACCTATGTTATTATAGCAGGAGTTAACCATAATTCAATTTATAATTATTTTTCTATTTGTGAACCATGTTATATTAGAAAGTTAATGCATGGATAGCAGTAAAGTAATTTATATTTATAACATAAATCTTTCAAAATGACCAAGTTTTAAAGAATTATGTCTTAATGATGACACTATCTCTTCCTTTTTAGGATAAAGAGTCACTTTTTTCCCACTCCTTCAGATATATACTATCTTTCTTTTTATGTAATTTTGGCTAGTATCCGCAGTAACTTGACTTGTTCACTAAAATAAACTTTAGATGTTATAAACTACATATAGTAGCTATAAATGGTGAAATCTATGCTTGAGAGAAATTGATCTCAGCCTCTTCAACTGATCCGATCTATTGAGAGCTTAAAAATGCTAGGAATGTCCCCCCCCAAAAAATAATATTTATAGAGAGCAAACAAATAACCTGACAATCTTTTTTTAGTATTTAAGTTATTTAAATAGTCCAAATAGATGTAAGTAAATAAACTAATGTAAAATAAAGGAGAGAACCTTAGTAAAGTATTCATTTAATTTTCTTTGAAAATAACTTTAATTATATTCATTTTATGACCAAATCAATAAACATATCTTTTATAAAGTACTTAATGTGTATAAATAACAAAGGACCTAAAACTTTAAAAAAAAATTTTCACCTAAGGATATGTTTCCATTGATTTTTAGGGAGAGAGGAAGAGAAGGAAAGAGAGAGAGAGGAAGAGAGAGAGAGGGAGAAACATCAATATTGGTTGCCTCTTGTATGCACATGGACAAGGGATTAAACCTGTAACCTTTTAGTGTACAGGATGATTCTCCAACCAACTGAGCCACCAGGCCAGGACGAGGCATAAGACATTTTTATGATCTCACTGAACTCCATCAACATTATGTGTATATATGTCTACATATGTATTTTTATAGTACATCCTATATAATAAAAGCCTAATATGCTAAGTGTCCAGTCATCCAGTCGACCATTCAACCAATCAAGGAGTAATATGCTAATGATAGGCTGAGGCCACCAACTGCTTGCTATGACATACACTGACCACCAGGGGCAGACGCTCAACTCAGGAGCTGCCCCCTGGTGGTCAGTGCAGGAGTACTGCTCAGCCAGAAGTCCTGAGCTGGGATCATGGCTGGCGAGCGCAGCAGCAGTGGCGGGAGCCTCTCCCACCTCCTCTGCAGCACTCAGGATCTCCGGCTGCCTGCTTAGGCAGGTATATATAAAGGGGGCATGTACTCCACAGATAAAATATGCTCCTTCCAGTCTGGGAGCCAGTGCTAAGTTTCTGACTGACAGCTTAGGCCTGCTCCCTGTGGGGAGCAGGTCTAAGCCATCAGTTGGACATCCTTCAAGGGCTCCTGGACTGCAAGAGGGTGCAGGCCAGGCTGAGGGACCATCGCCCACCCTCCCCGAGTGCATGAATTCCGTGCACTGGGCCTCTAATATAATATAATTTAGTATGTTTTTTGCTTATAATTATGTTTTACCTGTAACATATGGAGATTATTTTAAAATAAATATTCATAACATGTTATACTAATTGATAGAGATTTTATTCTGTATATAATATTAGTAATACATAAAACAGGAATATCAGCACCATTTCTGCCTTAGCCTCACACAGGTGACACAGAGATGTCATATTAAAAATGAGAAGAATAAATAATTGAATCAGCTTGTTGCAGCCTAGATAAGATTTAATTATGCACTCCTCTGCTTGCTTGTTTAGATCAAAAGATAAAACTTTGCATGCCTCATTAGTTCAGAGAAATAGCAGTTTCCTTAAATTACCACCTATAAATATCTGCTCTGTCACCTTGATTCTTCTAAGAATTTACATATTAGACAGTTAAGAACTCTACTCCATTGAGAATCTGGAGGGTAGATTTCTTAATATGTTGAATTAAGACCAATCTATAAGCGCTAGAAACCAGACAGAGAGTGGCAGCTATATTTAAAAATATGTAAGAGTTCTAAGAAGGATTTTTCTCCCCTCTGTAGGCCACCCATGTATATTTGATGTGTATCAAATGAGTTTTGTTGGAGTATTAAATATATAAGTTTGGAGGGCAGAGAAAATGTCTGGGTCAGAGTTTTGTGACTGAAATAAAAAAAAGAGGTTCAAAGATCAAATCCCCCTTGCTCCAATATTAGAAGGGCACGAGTTCAGAGGAGGAGAGTGGTGTAGGAGGACATTAGCAAAGTGGGGGTCCAGAGCAGAAGCCTAGAAGGTGAATCATGGAAGAGGGAGGGATCGACTATGGCAACTGCTGTTGTCAATCAGGGAAGATATACCTGAGAAATGACCATCAGCTTTGGCAAAAAATGGATGTCATTGGTGATCATAAAAGCAAAGGTTTCAGTGGAAAGGTGGGGATAAAAATCAAATCAGAGTATATTTAAGAGAGAAAAAAAATGGAGGCAGCATTTTTAAAGAGTATACACAATTCTGTCACAATTTTTATTACTTTTTTAAGGAAAGACAAGAAGAAAAAAATGGGGCGGTAGCCAGAGGTAAAATGAAGAATTTAAAGAAGGGAGAAACAAGAGCCACTAGATGAATAATCTAGTAAAGAGAAAAAAACTTCTTATGTTGTTAAGGAGGAGGGATGTCTGGGACAATAACCTTAAATAAGTAAGAGGGGTAGAATCTGTACACAAATGGAGGTGTTGGTGTTGGCCTCAGATAGCAACTGAATTTATAATAATAAGAGATATGGGTAGAGATGCAGGTATTGGGTAGATGTGGATGGGAGAATGTAGAATTTCTAACTGAATTACTTCCATTTTCTCTATAAGATAGGAAGCCGAGATACAGGTTTGAAGGAAGTAGTGAAGGCATGAAATGTTTACCTAAGAGAGTGGGCGAGTAAGGGGACCTGGGAAATGTAGTATAATTGCCGGGCAACACTAGGGTTCACTGAAAGTTAGTGATACATCATTTACAATGAATTAACCAACATGGAATGTTTATCTCAAGGCAAATTCAAGTTCCTGGCTCCAGGCACTGAGAGGCAGAGAGCTCGATTTTTCCAGGGTTAGCCTCTGCAAAGCTAACAGACAAAGCAGAGAGATGAGTGAGCTGAGAGGGTTTACAGGGGAATGATACTGATGGATCACAGATATAGTATATGCGACTTAATTAGACATAATTAATGTGACTAATTAGACATAACAAATATTTCATGATTTTGCATCATGTACTATACTTCACTGTTATTAAATTATTAATCACTACGTACTACTAGTTTTTTAAGTATGAAAATGGCTGTAAATTTATAAAAACATTAGAATATATCTACCTTGAACATAAATTCTTCCCTGGTGTCTGTCCTTCCCTTTAATATTCTCAGCCTCACATTCATAAGTGCCTTCGTCTTCGAGCTGGATGTTGAAGATCTTCAGGACGGCCCCAGAGGTGCTGATCTCGGCAGTGCTGGGCATGGGTTCCAGGACCTTCCGCCACCGGATGTCAGGAACAGGGCTTTAAGTAGGAGATGCAAGAGCTGAGTCCACAATGCTTAGGAGGCAAACTTATATTTATGTTGATAGCTAAACATTTACATCATTTATATTTTTTAAAAAAAGCACAAAATTAATGTATTTATAGATACATTAATGAAAAATGTACATACTTACTTGCCAAGGGCAAAACACTCCAAAGTCACATTTTGGCCCATCAATGCATATATGTCCTTGAACTGAACTACAATATCAGCAGGATATGGTTTTGTTGTCCCTAATATTAAGAAAAACGAAAACACCCATGAGTTAATAAACAAAATACTGTTGTTTTTTTACACTATGATTCTTTTTTTATGGCATTAGAATTGATTCAATATAGATAGCTTTTCTCTGCACAGGTTTTGAAAAATATCTGATCAGTCACAATATGCAGATTTATTTTTATGCATATTATGTATACTAGAGGCCCAGTGCATGAAATTCATACACAGGGAAGGGGGGAGGGAGGGCTGTCCCTCAACTCAGCCTGCACCCTCTCCAATTGGACATCCCTGTCACAATCCAGGACCGCTGGCTCCTAACTGCGTGCCTGCCTGCCAGGCTGATAGCTCCCTAACTGCTCCCGTGCCAGCCTGACTGACGCATAACTGCCTTCGCCTGCGGGGCTGAGTGGACTGGGGGACTGAGGCTGGATGAGGCCGGATGCTGCGGGGACTTGGTGAGGCAGGACTGAGGGGATTGGGGGACTGAGGCTGGATGAGGTGGGGCTGAGGGCACTGAGCGCCACCATCTTGTGGCTGTGGGGACCACCATCTTGTGAGGGCACGGCAGGCAATTAGCATATTCTCTGTTTATTAGATATAATGATGCTAAGGAGAAAAAGAAATACATAATCACCTGAAATATAAGCCAAAATGGAAATAAATGATCTAAAAACTGTAGCAGCCAAGAAAGATAATTGCAAGTGGGTATGGGAATTTATAAATCTTACCTTTGGTTTAGGTCAGTGGTCGGCAAACTCATTAGTCAGCAGAGTCAAATATCAACAGTACCATGATTGAAATTTCTTTTGAGAGCCAAATTTTTTAAACTTAAACTATATAGGTAGGTACATTGTTATTAACTTAATTAGGGTACTCCTAAGGCTTAGGAAGAGCCACACTCAAGGGGCCAAAGTGCCGGGGTCCAGCCCCGGGGGTCCACGGGTTCCCAAAGGTGTGGACGGAGTCGGCGAAAAATGTTTTACATGGAGACAGCGTTCAGAACTCTCCAGCTCTCTTTAATCTCTGTGGATCTTCCTTTGCCTGGATGAGGCCATAGAGAAAGATCCCAAGGCAAGCTGAGCCTTTATTTTATAGTGAGAGGTAAACAAGGTATTGGTTTCCATAATTACACAGTTCTTGTGAGTTTCACTTGTTTTGGCCACTTCCTGCACTTCCCTCAGCCCATTAGCTTCCCAGATAAGATCTAGAGAGCCTCATAAGGTCAAGCCTAATTATGCTAAGAGGACTGTGCCCTCTAAGCAGGGAATTGTTTGTGACTTTGCCCACACTTCAGTCCGAGGCTTAACCCTATATCAGCTCCCCACACCAAAGAGCCGCATGTGTCTCGAGAGCCACAGTTTGCCGACCACTGGTTTAAGTAGAAGACCTTGTTGGTAGTTTTTAAGGATGGAGAAGAGAAATACAGAATAGAGTCAGAGATCTAAGGAAGTTTGTTTCATAAATATAAAAAGAAGCCCTGACTGGTTTGGCTCAGTGGATAGAGCATTGGCCTGCAGACTCAAGGGCCCCAGGTTCGATTCCAGTCAAGGGCATGTACCTTGGTTGCGGGCACATCCCCAGTAGGGAGTGTGCAGGAGGCAGCTGATCAGTGTTTCTCTCTCACTGGTGTTTCTAACTCTCTATCCCTCTCCCTTGCTCTCTGTAAAAAATCAATAAAATATATTTTTAAGAAAGGAATATTGACAATGTAATATCTTAACATTTATTATAAGTGTGTACATTAATGTGGGTTAAGCAAGTATGATTAAAAACATCAGGCAATTAAAAAGAAGCAAAAGTGTAATGCAACCACCCCTCTTCCTGGAGTCTGCAGAATTCCATGCCTTTTTAGAATTGAAAGAGGTTGTTTTGGATTGAAATCAATATTGGTCTTGCAAGCTTTCTGTCAGTATCTTGCACGTTGGTTCTAAAACTCCCTTAAAGGCAGAGTGCATCTTGAAGGTGGGGGAGCCAGCCTATCTTGGGCCTCTTTATTCTGCACTCCATCAGCTGGGCCTGTACCAAGACTCAGAGATGGCATCTCCTACATGAAGGAGTGACCTTTCTTTCCCTTTCACTCATTCACTTAGCATCTATGTGTCAGTGGCTACCAGTGTGTGAAGTACCATGCTGTAGGCTAGACTTCAGAAAGACCAGCTTACATTTAGTGTTGGTTATCTGTGCCATTTATTCCCCTCAGAGCAAATCTGATGCACATCTATGCAAATAACTGGAATGTTCCACTCAATCATTTGGCAGGAAGAACAAGTCCACCAGCCAAAGTGCATAGGGCCCAGAAACTGGAGAGAGATGGGAGACATTTTCTAATTAAATCAAGGGAACAGGTCCTCATTTTTCATTAGAAACACTGTGAAGTTGTTCCTCCTCTCAAGAAGCTTATACCATGATGCTGGTCCCAAAGACAGAGAAGAACAATTGAACCTGAGCAGAGCATCACTGGCCTGCATCTGTCCAGCCAGCCAATGGGTTTCCACTAGCGTGGACAGAGTCTAGACCGGGAAATAGGTCACTGAAGGCCCTGTGCTCAGATTGGCTAGCCCACTGGAGTTTTGCCTGAGTTGACAAATTTCTCTTTGGGAAGGTCTCTGAGCAAATCTCTTCCCAGATGAGAGCACCTCAGTTCAGAGCTGTTTTCATAGAAAGAGGAGAGGGAGAGGGGCAGTTTGGTACTTCATGGGGGGTGGGGGAGGGACTCAGGATCCCTGAGGAGCAGTGCAATTTCTCACCTTCCCCTCTTTGTTAGAGCATGCCTCAGGGGAGGTTTGCGGGGGGG